GTTGATTGGTCTATTTGGATTTTCCAGTTGTTTTGATTCATTCATTTTTGTGAGGTTATGTATTTCTAAGAACACGTTTATTTCTTCTAGGTTATTGAATTTGGTGACATGTAGTCTTTCATAGTGTTCTTGTATAATCCTTTGTATTTCTGTGTTATGCATCATAACTTCTTTCATTTTTGGTTTTGTTTGTTTGTGTCTATTCTCTTTTTTCCTTAGTGAGTCTAACCAGGAGTTTGTTTACGTTATTAATTTTTTCAAGGAACCAGATCTTTGTTGCATTAATTTTTTCAATTGATTTTTTTGTTTTCTATTTCTTTTAATTCTGCTTTAATTTTTATTATTTCCTTCCTTCTGATGATTTCGGGCTTCATTTCCTCTTTTTCCAGTTCTTTCAAATTTAATGTTATGTTGTTTATTAGGGATTTTTGTTGTTTCTTGAGATAGACCTGTAATAATATAAACTCTCCTCTTAGTATGACTTTTGCTGTATCCCCAAAGTTTTGATAGGTTGTATTTTCATTCTCATTTGTTTCTATGTGCTTTTGATCTCTCCTTGTATTTATTCTTTGATCCAGTCATTCTTTAGTAGCATGTAGTTTAATCTCCACATATTTGTGATTTTTCCTCCTTTTTTTGCACTTGATCTTCAATTTCAAAGCATTGTGGTCAGAGAATGTGTTTGGTATGATTTCAACCTTCTTAAATTTGTTGATACTTGTTTTGTGTTCCAACAAATCGTCCATCCTTGAGTATGTCCTATGTGCACTAGACAAGAATGTTTAACCTGATTTTCTGGGATGAAAGGTTTTGTAAATGTTCATTGTGTCTATTTGGTCTCATGTGTCATTTAAAGCAAAGATTTCCTTATTGATTTTCTTTTTGCATGATCTACCCATAGCTGAGAATGGGGCATTTAGGTCCCCTACCATAATTATGCTTTTGTCATTTTCTCCCTTTAGTTTTGTTAGTAGTTGCTTTATATATAGTTATTACCATATTACTGATGATATTCCCTGCACTTTCCCTTACATTCCAATGACTACTTTGTAACTACCAATTTATACTTTATATTTACTTCACTTTTTCCACCATGCCCCCAACCACCTTCTCATCTATGATGCCAATAAATCTAGTATACAACTCTGATGCCATACATGTTTATTACAATATTATTGTCTATATTCCTTATACTATATCCTACATTCCCACAACTACTTTATAACAACCAATTTGTACTTCTTAGCCCCTTTCACTTTTTCATCCAACCCTAAATCCCCATCTGGTAGAGTATTCTCTTTTTATCAAACCACCAATTGTTATATTATCAATCCTTTTCTGAGGCCAACGGCTGGGCTTCTCTAGCAAGTTTTGATAAGTTATCAGTTGGGGAAATATCTCTTTGGACCATGACAGAGGTTGGACTGCTGCTTGTTTTTTTAAGGGCTACAATTCTTGCAGAAATGTCAGCATGTGATTTTCAGTACCTTCCTGAGGTTCAATTTTAGAATGCCCTGGAATCTTAATAATAGCTAAAACAGCATGTGAAAGTATGTCATCCAGTTAGTTCTGAACCTGTGGGTCATATTTTATTTCTTCTGGAAGCAAGGAAGTCATGTTGGCTCCTTAACATTTCAAAATCATGTGCTACTCCAAAAGATTATCTACCATCAGTATAAATGTAGGCAGTGTTGCTCTTGGCCAACAAGCCAGATAAGAGCAATTATTTGAGAGCTGTGATTAAAACTCTGCACATCAGATTCATTCCTGAAGAGTGGTTGTCAGAAAGGAGTGAGGGGAGGGGACACGCATGACCACAGGTGCTCAGTTTGCTGGACTGGGTCCTGGCTAGGCAACACATTCTGGTAGACAAAGCTTTCTGAGTCTCCAGATTGCTGTTGCCATGGAATAGTATTTCTGCTTATAAAAACACTAGAGGATTTGAAGATTAGAACTTCGCGTTGCCAGAGCCAGTTCATGTGGCCTTTCTGTCCATTTTTAATCTTCCTAATCCATGGTAATAAACAACTTTCCACTGAAATCAGTCATCATGTCTTTTCTCATATCCAACTGACTCAATCACAGAAAATGTGCAAGTAACCTTGTCAGCCTTAGTTAGATGAAATCCATACCCCTGGGTTCTGCATGAACTGCCATTGCTGATGTCATGATGTTTGTTCATGAGGTTCACTGGAAAAGCTTGGAAAAGTGACTTCGTTAGCATGTTGAGCAGCTATAACAAAAATGCCTTATCATGGGAAGCCTGTAAAGAACAGAAATGTATTTCCCACAATTCTAGAGGCTGTGGATTCCAAGCTCTAGTTGCTAGCAGGTGTGATGTCTGGTAATGGCTCACATTCTTGTTTGTAGATAGTTTTCTTGCTGCATCCTCATATGATAGAAGCAGCCAGGTAGCTTTGTGGGGATCTCTTTTATAAAGCACTGATCCCATTCATGACCTCATGACCTAATCATCTACAAAACGTCCTATCTTTTAGTACAATCACATTGTGGTTTAGGATTTCAACATGAATTGGATGGCAGGGAAAGGGGGGTGGGCACAAACAATCAGACAGTAGCAGTAACTGAATGACACTTATGTGTCAACTAATTATTGAGAAACTTCTGCTCAGCGATGGCTCTTAGATTAACTTGCACTGGGTAAGCCATTATTTTCTATTTTAGCCCATTTTGAAAGGTCCAATCATAGTGCTTCCCAAAATCACTATCCAATTTTTCAGCCTTTTTCTTCTGTAGCCTGGCAATTTGTTAAAACCAAAAGTCTGTATCATTGAAGTAGCTATCTTTCCTTCCAAAGTGATCAACAGACATAACCCTTGAATTCTACATACTTTAGTGACTCCTTTTCTTGCAAAGCACTCTTGGTTATATAAGTGATGTGACATCAGTCCAGTGTAATTCTGTGACAAATCTCAGGCATGTATTTAATTCATAAACATAAGAAAACACCTGAATTTATTTGCAACTTAAAGCTCTCAGTTCGTTTAGTTTTTTTTCAATCCCAAGTACCTGACTAGTGAATATTTCATCCTTGGTAAACATTTTACTAAGTTTTAATGTCTCTTCTTAACCTGGAAAAAGAAGAAATGGAGTAATCTATACCTTAATGTTTCATGCATTGTGGCTCTCTGTTTAAAGTCATTAGGACATAGGTTGACTTGTTTCACTCTTCATCAGTTTGAGCTAAATAACAACCTGCTAAATTGTACCCATTATCTCCAAGTTTCTTCAGTATCAATTATCTATAAAACATGAGAAACAATTACCTAAAGAAAGTCTAAAAATTTTAACATATTGAGTATGCATTTCTAAAGTATAATTTTGTCCTCTGATTTGCCAAAATGGTCTAAGTATCCACTCTGTCAATATTTTAGAGATATTGCAACTCTTGATAAACAAATGCTAGAGTTTTAAAATGTACTATTAAATAGGTCTGACCAACCTTCATACTTGCCCTTTCATTAGATTCTGATATACTTCCTCTAAGACTAGATTGATGGTGTCCTTACAAACTATTTGAAAAAAGTGGTATTGTCCATGAATTAATTTTTCAGCCATTCAGTCTATTCTATGCTTCTGTACTAGCAGTTTTAATTAGTTATTTTCTCTATAAATCATAAAACTTATGACCTATGTCAGGAGGGTCTCAAGTAGATTTCACCATAAAAATTTTAAATATCAGTTAAATAATATCTTATACCTGGAACTCATAAGATGATTGTGGACATAGAGATAATGGGACTTCTATAGGCTGTATGAATTTAATTTTTTTCAGTAGGAAAAATATCTCCATTTATACCCTTTGGACCTCCACTTAGAAAACATATTTTCAAATGAGCACAACAGATGGTGTATGGTTTAGAAACAAAGATTATGAAGAAAATGCCTCAAGCCAGATAAGGTACTATATCTGGCCCTGGACACCAGTTTTCATTGGGGAGTAACTGCAGCCCTATTTAACTCATAAAGTATTTATATTAGTCATCAAAAAATATATATCCACATGTATTATCAAATATACACATATGCAGATGTATAATTTTAGTTTTGAAACTTCAGTGTAATCATTTTCAATAACTTCATATGATGTATCAAATTATCATTATTACTGTAAGTAATGCTATATATGGATAATTTTAGATGTTCTCATGTAAAATCATGGAAATTTTATTCTTTTCATTCAAATATTAAAACCCTTCTTTTACAAGGAACCACTCAAAAATTTAGTGGCTTATAATACTAATAATTCATGAATGTTTATGTTAATAATGTTGGAGGATCCAGACCGTGCTCAGCTGTGGGTCCTCTGAGCTACATGAATTGATCTCTACTATGGATTGTTCCTTTGGGGTCAAGACTTAAAGTGTGAACCCAGGGAATGTCATTCTCAGGGCAAAATGACATTTTTTTTCAAGGAACAAAATCCCCAAGATAAACTGCACAAGCAAGTTTCAGTCCCATTCTTTCTAACCTATTAAATATAATTTTTATTTATTCTTAGGTTAGTAATTCTTCAAGTTTCTGAACTACAACTCTATTTAAAGTTTAATGTATTTCATCATGCAATTTACAAATAGTTGTATATTCAATAATTAAAATATTAAGTATGTGTATGATTTAATTTTGAGTTAATTAGAAAATAAAGTGGCATGTGTTTTCAACATATAGTTTTAAATACAGTTCCTTAAATGGAAATGGAGGGGAAGTCCCATTTAAATTAAGTAAATGTCCTCTAAAACAGTGCATCTTAAACTTTATACATACATGTGATTTCTTGTTAAAATGAAGACCCTCAAAAGCAGGTGTAAGGTGGAACCTGCTGTATTACATTTGTAATAAGCTCCCAGGGAAGTCAGTGATTCTCTGGCTCCTGGGAAAATTTTAAACATTAAAATGTTTTCATATAGAATAGAAAAAAAATGCTTCATCCACATTTAAGTTTTAATTTTTTTAATCAAAAAAGGCTTCCATTTTTTTGTGAAATTATTTCTATGCATGTAAAACATTTACCTAATTTTCCTAATTTCTCAAACATTTAACAAACATTTCCTGTTATGAATCTAGACTTGATGATAATGGTTGGAAGCACATCCAAGTGTATTGTATTTGGCAAATTTCTGAGAGAGGTAAAAAGAATGACCATCCAGGCTGCCTGCTGTCAGTTCCCCATCATCACTCTCACTTGTGGAAGCACATTTCTCAGAACCCCTTTGCCCTCTATGGTTTCCTATAGAATTGCTCAGTGAGGGGCCCTCCCTGAGAGTTGGAGTTGGAAGAGGAGGATTCAGTACTATCCATCAGTTCCTGCAGGCAGAGTGGGGGACTGGGGAATCACTGGTGAGCTGAGAGCATCAGCACCCCCACTTCTGGGCTTCCCCCACAGGTCTGGGGACCACATGGTTAGACAGTCTCTCTCTCCAGTGGCGTATGTTCTCTTGTTTCTGGGAAAGTACCAGGAAATCCCACGGTATCTGCTTCCCCTGTTATTAATCCCCTAGGCCTTTGAAACAATGTACTTTAGAAATTAACTCCCTATATTATGCAATTCCTGCTTGGAATACCTACAGTGGCATCTTTTTCACTTCATGAATTCTGACTGATACTGTAGCACAGACAGTTCATGTGTGATGATCTCTGTTCTTTATGAACTCAGGAGACGCGTTGTATGTGCCATTGAGGCTGAGGAGAGACAAAGAGAGTTAAGGGGCAGGAGAGCCCTCCTGGTCACTTTTACCAAAACATCCAGTCACGATCAAAGAATGGGTGCATCTCAGGAATGCTCTCTCAGTCTATGGAGGCCCAAGTGGAGCAGCTGGGGTGGCCGACTCTCAGTTGTCTGCTTCGTGGTTTATGTTCAGGCTTATAACATTGTGAGAGGCCAACTCTGATACTGTTGACAGTAATAAGTTGCCACATCTTCATACTGCAGGCTGCTGATGGTGAGAGTGAAATCTGTCCCAGATCCCTGGCCACTGAACCTCGAAGGGACTCCGGTGTGCAAACTGGATGCCCTATAGATCAGGAGCTTAGGAGCTGTCCCTGGTTTCTGCTGATACCAGTTTAAGTAACTGCTAATGCTCTGACTGGCCCGGCAATTGATGGTGACTCTGTCTCCCACTGATGCAGACAGAGAGGATGGAGACTGGGTCATCTGGATATCACATCTGGCTCCTGAGAATGGAAACAAGAAAACAAACATCCATACTCTTAATGATGTTACCAGGTCTTATAACTACCTACAGTCTAAGTGGTACTGACCACACTGGCAGAGTAAATCCCCCAAGTGCTCCTTCCTTACCTGGGAGCCACAGCAGCAGGAGGCTGAGGAGCTGAGTTGGGACCCTCATGTCCATGCTCTGTCCTGCCTGGGACTGATTCCTGCACAGGGTGTGACCTCACTATTAATGTGTCCAGGACTGTGGGTTGCATCACAGTCACATGCAAATAAGCAGGGTTGGGGATGGTTGGGCACAGCTGCAGGGCTGACTGGGCTCAATAGCACAGCACAGTCAGCATACCAGGTGCCAAAGTCCAACCAGGGCAGCACAAATTTGTCTGCAAGAAGTCTGTTTCTTCTTGGCAATCATAAGAATCATTCTACCATTTCTATGAGTATAGTGTTCCTACTCTGTTCAAATTCCAGGACATGTTTCTCTTGCTCTTTCTTCATCTGAAACTGGGTCTTTCGAGTATGACACAAGCCTAGTACCTGCAAGAAATTTTGCCAGCTCTTTGCATTGGTGCCTGTGCACTATGTTGAAGACAGAGAGACTTTGTTTTGGGTTCAATTCTTAAAACCTTTCTATAGTAAATTAACACTATTGTCAGCCAGAGATGCAATGATGTGTAAGAGTAAATAACAAAAAAAGTGAGTGTCATGATTTGTAAGGAAGTGCCTCATGACTGCGTATCTGTCATTGCTAACCTGTCATCTCTAGTTTACTGATCTGTCCTTTTCGTTAGCAAGTGCTGTGACATACCACTTGCATCTAGGCCAGCCATGGTCAGGGATTTTTCTCCCCCACATCTGCAATGTGTCAGCCACCATTCCTCTCTGCAGGTCTTTCCCACACCAATGCTACATGTTCCCTGAGCTCCTTGGTTTACTACCTGTGCCTCGCTTCCTTTTTAACTCAAGCTATTCTCTTCAGAAACTGAAGCCTTCCCTAGACTAAGTGCTTACCTATAACCCTGAATTACTGTGTTCCCTAACCCCGCATATTCCTCCATCTCCAAAGATCTTCTAGTTTCAAAGAGAATGTAGTTCTCAGTGGATGGATGCAGGGCCTTGGGTCTAAGCAGGGTGATGAGAAAACCACATAGAAAGGTGATAGTGGAAAAGCTAAAGACAGTTTAGAGTCCACACAGTATGGAAAAGGCAACTATGTGTGATACAGGGGGAACCCAGCATGGAGCTAGAGTGGGGTAAGGACTGGTATCCCCATATGGCAGTGGTGACACTATTGGACCAGAACATGTGTTAAGGGTGGAGCAAGAAGAAGACATTCACCTAGGCAGAGGCACTCAATGTATGTGTCAGAGCCTAGTCATGGTGGGGAGGGCACCCATGCAGGAGTGCAAAGTTGGCAGTGGCCTGACAAGTGTATCAAAGCCAGAACAGGATATGTGGGTGGATATATGGGGCAAGTTCTATGCAAGTGGAAGTAGTTGGCTGTAACAGCAAGAGGTTAGTTTCATTCAGGAGAGCTGATGATCATAGAAGTCAAAGTATTAAGGATAATTGAAGGCAAAATTCTCATTGTTGGAGAAAGGAGTTACAGATTCAGAAGAGGAAACTCTTAAGATAAATGGTTTGGGATCGAAATTCGAGATATCAGGGTTATATATAGATAAGATATGAAAAGTGTGTGTTGATATATAAATGGATGATGGATAGATAGATAAATAAAGCCTAGCACCAATGACACCCACATCCCAAGAAGCACTGACAGTGCCCACATCTTTGTATATAAATACTATTTTCCATTAAAACAAAGCATTAGTTCTTGGAGAAATACCTCATTCCAGGTCTAGAATAGAGAAAATACACAATAACCCTGGACAGTTTGGGCCACAAATTAAGAAGTTCTCAAGAACAATGAGGTAAAGAGAATCCATTTTGAATGGGACTATCATCTGCCCAATCTGGAGAATTTTGAGCATCAAAATTAATAATGATGGTAATTTATTGAAGGAAATATGAACCCATGGTTTTATAGTGACACTTTGATGAGGAATAGGATATTCATAAAGTGTTAAGGTTTTTTCCAAAAAATCTTATTAATTTCAAAGGGCAAAGAGCAGCTGTGCAGCAAAGAAGTCTGGCAGACACCACCTTGATCCAAGAATTGAAGTGGCATCATCAGTAATGGGACAAATTGGAATATGGGACCACCTAATAGGATGCAATTAGAAGAGCAGACAATCACTTTCAGATTCCTTCCAAAGATGCATTAGCTGAATCTGATCATGAGGAAAAATCAAATAAATCCAAATTGAGGGACATTCTACAAAATAACTATTATTCATCTTCAAAAGTGTTAAGATCATTAAGCTTAAGGAAAGAATGATGAACTGCTCCAGACTGAAGGAGACTAAAGGGATATGGACAAGTAAGGCTACACGTGAATCTGGACTGGATACTTTTGTTATAAAAGATAGTGGTGGGACATTTGTCAAAACTTGAAATGGGCCTGAGGGCCAGATTGTTTAATATATAAATGCTGATTTCCTAATTTCATGGTTGTATTGGGTTATATAGCAGAATGTCTTTTTTTGGAAGAAATACAGAGTAAATAAAGTCTTAGAGGGATGGCTATCAGGTCATCAACTTACTTTCAAATGGTTCAGGGGCAGAAGGAAAAGTACTGTGTGCTGTACTTACAACATTTCTGTAAGTGTCAAGTTGTTTTGAAATTTTATGAAAATATAAAATGCAGTTCTTGAGAGCATGTTGAAGGTACTGAAAACCTTTTTGCTGCCATCTTATTATAGGGCCAAGTCATTTACTACAGATGCATAAAGATGATTACTATCATGTTTCCCCAAAGGTGTGTCACACATACATCACTTTCCAAAGCCATAGGTCTCAATTTTTCAGTGAACTAAATGGGGTATATCTTATTATTGATTGGGCTCCTCAATATTCTACACCCTCTCCTGATATTTGGCCTTACTTCCCAAAGTTCATCAGCAAAAACCTCTGACTATTGAAGCTTGGCCTGATTACCTCAGCATAAATTGCTGTGGGTTTTTTTTCCTCCAACTAAAAAGGATGACCCTTGATTTGGAGTCTGGATTAAGATACTCCTAAAACCCTAGATCAGCTCAAAGCCTCTGACCATCAATTCTCTTTAGAATAAAATGAAGACCAAGATTCTATCACCTGGGGGAATTGTTGTGAATGTCAGAGAGGACAGGAAGATAGGGGACCTGGAGACAGAGATGACCCCAATCATGTTATTACTGTAACAAGGCAGAGAGTCCTTAAACCCTCATGTGGTGGCTACGGAGAGAAAGATCCTGAGTCTACAACACAGCATAGAAAAACATTTTTGTGCCCAGAGGTAGTGGACTCTTGTGATGCATCGATGATCACTCAGGAGTTGGCTTACATACATAAATGGTACTCTATGCCTTTGATATCTTTGTTTTCTAAACATATTCTAAAAATCCCCATTAAAAGTACCATTCTTCTTATTTAGGAAATAAATTCATGATGTATGATGAGGACTAGATTGTGAAATGCATATGAAATTATAGCTAATCAAAACATGTGTACCTTCCTGAAGCTGATGTTGTATAATACTGTACGTCAACTATAAGTGAATATATATATATATATATATATATATATATATATATATATATA